AAATCTCTCGAAGAGGCTCCTGCTCAGAGTGCGTTGCCGTGCAGGCTGGCGATGTCACTATTCTCGCGCTGTACCTCACTCCCAACCTGCTAAAAAAGCATGTTCAGCGATCTCTAGAGGAGATGTTGACTGATTGCGGTAAGGTGTGTCTGCGTGTACCTGTTATAGCTGCGGGAGACTTCAACGTTGATGTCAGCGGAGAAGAAAAATGGCTCGTCGATTATATACGTGACGTGCACTCGCTGAATTGTGGGTCGGCGGAATGTAAATTACCCGCCACGATAAGGGCAACATGCATCGGTCTGGTCTTTGCCAACTTCGACGTCGAATGTGTCCTCTCTGAAGAAACAACAAAACCTACTCCAGCCATCGCTTCAAACGAATCTTGTAGCACTTACCACAGCTCCCGCATTAGCGCTGTTCAACCTGTGATGCCACCAAGCGCAAAGCTGCTGCTTCGCATCTCAGGGTTCCCTTTTAGAAGATTACATTAATTTTTAAGGGCGAATCTCTTCTTAGTCTAACCTTGTCCTGCTTGGGGCGTAACTGGCAGAAAGAGAAAACGAGAAAAAAAGGAAAACAGTATCTCCTGAACAGTATAATAGAGGGTGCCGTCTTATAGAAGTACATACAAACAGCAGTTGAGTGAGGATATTCTATATGGCGCTTTACCGCTACTCTCCAATTGGCTGCTGTGCGGGCTATGCTTGGGTGTGCGGGGAACGAGTGCCTCTCTGTCTCCTGGATTGCCGCCGTAAGAGGCTGATTGTTGGTGTGGCATGGACAAAGCAGAGAAGCAAGCGCGGAGCGCCGCAACGGCTTGTGCTTGGCACCTCGTTTGTGGGGCATGGGCGAAGCGGAGCGAAAGGCCACGGCGGCTTGCGTTCGTCGCTAGACAAACAAAAAGATAGACACAGAGACAGACGGACAGATGGACGCGTGTGCGGACGACAGACACATGCACGGACGCTTCACCCCACTCGTCATCATTCACTCAGTCGATAGGCTGTGATTTTTTTCTTTTTTCTTTTTTAAGCCTGCACGTGAAGAAGGATTAGAAACTGGCCTTGCCGTGGTGGTCTAGTAGCTAAGGTACTTGGCTGCTGACCCACAGGTCGCAGGATTGAATCTCGCCTGCGGCAGCTGCATTTCCGATGGAGGTGGAAATGCTGTAGGCCCGTGTGCTCAGATTTGGGTGCACGTTAAAGTACCCTGAGTGGTCGAAATTTCCGAGCCCTCCACTACAGCATCTCTCATAATCATATGGCAGTTTTGGGACTTTAAGTGTCACATATTAATCAAATGAAAAATTAGAAACTGCTGCTGAAAAGTCAGTAATACGATTTTTCTGAAAAGTGCGCATTTTTCCGGCGATTAGCGCAACTTTGGTTATCTCAACTTTGGTTATCTGTTTTTCTCTAAATTCTTTCTGATTTTTATGGCATCGAGTTAACGAGGTATTACTGTATTTGTCCAAGAAGAAAGATTAATACAAGGAGGCGTATTGAGTTGTACACTTTTCATAATCAAAATGAACTCCCTGCAGCTGTTCTATCTCACGCACTATGTTTTATCTCACGCACTATGTATTATTGCACATATGTCGATGTACAAGTCGGTTTTAAATTGTGAAACCTTTCAATATGTGAATGTCAAGTTCAATCAGGTTTGAACAATGTCTCTCAATGGGCAGAAGAGAATGGTTTTAAACCGAGTACACAAAAGAGTACTTGCATCTTTTTCTGCCGAAAGATGGGCGTTCATTTTGATCTCGAGATTGATCGGCATGGTCAATGTCTGCCTGTAAAGTCTGAACATAAGTTTCTGGGCCTAATATTAGACAAAAAACTAACTATAATACCATACATAAAGTATTTAAAAACAGGTGCTTCAAAATTGTGAATATTTTGAAAGTGTCACACACTACATCCGGTAGTGACAGGAAATGTCTGGTGAATTTGTATAGAAGCCTCATACGCATGCGCCTAGATTACGAGACTATAACTTATCAAGTGTGTGACACCAACAGCCTTAAAGCTTGAAAATTCTCGACCCTGTCCACCACCTAGGCATTCGCCTTGTACAGGTGCTTTTTGCACTAGCTGCATAGAAAGCCTGTATGTAGAATCAAATGAGTGGACGCTCCACCTGCAGAGATGTTACATGTCTTTCGTATACTATCTCAAGGTCAATGCAAACAAGGAACATCCCTCCCGCTCCACAATCAATGATTTGTCTAATTCTGCCTTGTTCCAAAACCGCCCTTCACTGAGGCGTACTAACTCCATGTGAGGGACCTCACTGTGAAAACAAGTGTGCCACTTCTAGAACACCGTCAAGTAGCTCTCGCAGCATATCGGCCACTGTGTCAGTGGCAGGGGATAGACTGTGATGTATGTTTTGTGGAAGCTACTTGCTGCACACACCCGCACGCACTTCCTCAAACTCCAGCACAAATACACTTGCCCAGAATTCTTTACAGATGCTTCAAAGTCTCACACTGGTATGTCCTATACAGCTGTTGGCCCATCCCTTTCATATTTCGGTATTCTCCACTCCCAAACAAGCATCTTTACAACAGAAGCTCATGCAATATCTTTGGCCGTCAAGCATATTAAGCAATTACAACTACAATGCGCTGTTATCTACAGACTAGCTGAGCTTTGTGAAAGCTTTGAAAACTCTCAAAAGGCATAAAAGTCCTGTCCTTGTGTCGCTTTACTCTTTTTTATGCACCATCTGCGCTCTCAAACGACATGTCATAGTGCGCTCGGTGCCAGGGCACCGCGAGATCAGAGGAAACATGTTGGCAGACCAACTAGCTCCATCAACCCATGACAATGCTGCCACCGATGCATCCATAGATGTCCCTGGGCATCGACATGAAGCTTTTCCTGCGATAGGAGCTCAGGGTGTGCAGGCAGCATCTATGGGATAGGCACCGGGAAACAAATTGCATGTTACCAAACCAAGACATCAAAATTGGTCAGCTGTATCCAGATCATTCTACACACAACACTTACCAGGCTACAAATAGGGCACACACACACAGTACACATGCATATTTGTTGTCTGGCAGAGACCAATCTGTCAGAGATGTTAAGAACCACTTACGATTCTCCACATCCTCATCTAGTGCAATGAGTTAGATGCTCTAAAAAAAGGTACTTTTTATTGCCCATTGTCCATTTATTGACCATTTATTGACCGATGAGCATGACAGGAGCCTGCAGCTTCCTGTCATGCTCATCGGTAGAGACGCGCTTTTTAATCGTCAATCACTGTTCACGTTTTTAAAAGATGTGCATAGTTTTCACCCCATATTCCCACGTGATTCGTAGCTCAACCTATCTACAGAGGTCGCGACTGCGGCAGCCATCACCACAAACACTGCCATTTATTCCGGTGACACACATTTAACATCACCCACATGATTTTAATATTAATGAGTTGTAATCCGCCTTAGGCCACGGAGTTTCAGGCCCCTATACCATAGTTCGCATCCCTTATATATCATCGTAAATCTCAGTCCAATTTAATACTTTCATTGCTTGCCACGGCGTTCTTTGGCCAAGCCTGGCCCTTGCACCATTAAAATCGACATATCGTCATCATCATGCCTACATTTCACGTCGCTCTCATAATTATAATACTTGTAGGTTCCAACCCTCCCCAGGGCGTGGAATTTTTGGCCCCTTTACAGACACCTAACATTATCACAGTTCATGTCCAGTACACACCACCTCAAATCAAGAACCATTGATATTCTATCATTATTTTTCGTGGCGCTCTTTGGACAAGCATGGCCCTTGGGCCAATAAAACCCACACATTATCATGATCACAATAGTAACTGATTTACTTTTTACGCCTTCCTGAATGTTACGTTCACTTCCACAACAACCCTTGCACATTTGCAAGATGTTTCAGCGCGCGAACAAAGGAAAAAGGACAGGGTAGACAGAAAGAGCGCTGACTTCCAACTAACTTTATTTCACAGAGTGGCAAGAATATATACTGCTAAAAAGGATGACAACAGAGCATGAAGGTAAAATGCAAGCCTAATCTACACATCAGTAACAAAACACGTGTGACGGGTCCTCTATTGCCTCAAAGCCCAGCTAGGTAATCACGTTCAGCCTGTGATAAAGCAATCGATGATGTGCTTGCACATTCATCTCCTAGCAAGTGTATTTTTTCAGCTTCGATAATTTAAAAAAATACAATAATAAAAAAATTCTCTTGCAAATATGACTACGCACCAACTAGCCCAAGCTTCCACTCTTGTGAACCCTTGAACCTTTTCCTATCGTGAATGTGCTATGCATAAATGAAGGCATGAACATTAATAAAGATAAAGGTTCAATCTCTGCAACAACGTTGTCTCACCCAGTCTTTTCATCCTCTTGTCACTTTCTATCTTACCCAGATGAAATGCATTTAAGTCAAGAAATGGGGGGTAGAATAATGTGTTTTTGTGAGCTTATCGCATTTTTGCATTATAAAAGCAGAAATTGGCAAATTGGAGAGCTGCTGAGGGGTCGCTTATGCATAGTTGATCATGAAGAACACTTCAAAAGTAGAACATACCAGTGACACTCATCTGCCATGTCTCCTGCACAGTGGGAGAGAGATCATACCACATAATTAGGAGCAGTCACAGTCCTTTGCCGCTACCCTCAGTCAGCTCACCATCTTCACACCCTTACCTATAGTAAACTGGATTTCACTAGATTGTATAGGTAACGTCCTGATTACAAGCAATTTTTTTTAGTAACATCCCTCTATTTCTTTTTTGGGAGAACTGAAAACCCTTGATACATTAATCATTTGAGTTGCATAGTTATGCAGGTTGTGTAAAATGCTTTGTGTTTGTGTAGTATCCACCTGCCCATTGGCAACTTTATTTGTAGCTAAGATGTGCATGGCTTGCATTGTGACAGCTTTTTGAACTGACATGCTTTGTGCTTGCCTTCTCCTCCTTACCCTGACTTCTACTAGCCCAAGGAATCACGCTTGCATGCTGCTGCTGTGACTGTGCTGAATGGTTCCAGTCGAAGCTGTGTTGTGAGTGAAATTCTTTCGTGTGTTTTGAAAAAGTTTGAGGCAAAGGCATATGTTTTTTCAGGTTACAGATTTGTCTACAACATATTTAGTGGTGTTCTAGCTGCATGATTTATGCCATTTTGCAGCAATTCTAGTCGACTGCACCTCGCTGCATGCCCATCCAAGTGCTGCTTGGGGCAACTGCACCAAAAGTTGTTTTTTTGACTGCTTATGTGTTTTTGGCCTAAAATCAGGGTTGGACTCAGCCACTCATTTTAGGAAGGGGGGTGTTACCTAAAGTAACACCGAAGAGGGTGGCGTGGTCATGACTTTTTTGTTTTTACTTGCAGAAAGACGCCTTCATAACATAGATACTGTTAATGTGTGCACACAGTGGTTTCGCTCATTTGTCCTAATTGGGTGGACTATGAGCACTGTAGTGGGGGGAGCGTTGACTCAAAGTTGGGGAGGAATCGCCCCTACTGCCCCTCTTCTGGATCCGCCACTGCCTAAAATGTTCTTGGTCTGGCAACTAACACCTCAACCAACTTTCCCAGAGTGCTGTGGAAACCCTTCTCTCATCACCTTTTTCCCTTCACGCTTTTTCTCATTCAAGGGACCCTGAAACAATTCTGACTATTTTGTACAACCACACTGTACCGGTAGAGCAAGTCTAAAGAATTGTTTACAGGCTGATTTAAGCTTCCGAGGTAAACTGTGTAATTTATTAAAATGCTTCAAAGCTGTGAATTGCTGCAGATGATAGCAGCTCAGCCAAGTGTGTATTCGACCACCCACTTCCAGTACAGCGAAGTTGGGAAGCGGGACACCTTGCAGGTGGCTGATCTGATTGAATGTACAATGCGCATCACAGGCAGTTTTAATGCGATAGTGTCATGGTAGTGTTTAACGCGATAGCGTCCAAACGTCGTGGGATTGAAGCTCGGCTGCCGCGGCTGCATTTTCGAGCGAGGGGAAAATCTGTAGGCCTATGTGCTTAGATTTGGGTGCACGTTAAAGAAACTCATGTGGTCGAAATTGCCGGAGCTATGACGTCTCTCATAATCATATGGTGGTTTTGGAACGTTAAACCCCACATATATATCTATCTATCTATCTATCTATCTATCTATCTATCAGAATTACCATTCATGATTTGAGAATGCTTGCTGAATGAAATCCACCCCATCCTTATTCTTGTTGTTATTTCACTCTCATGGTCCGGCTCCGCGGTTACTCCCTGTCCTAAGTAGACATATTCCTTTACAACTGCCAGCGTCTCTCCACCTAATGCGAAGTGCTGTTTTCTGCTGAGACTATTGCACATCACTATAGTTTTGTGCAGATAAATTTTCAGACCTACTCTTCTGCTTTCCGTGTCCAGTTCAGTAATCATGAGCTGTAATTCCTCCTCTGAGTTACTCATCAAGGCAATGTCATCAGCGAATTGCAGGTTACTAAGATACTCCTAATTAACTGTTATCCCGAACTCTTCCTAATCTAGGGCCCTGAGAACCTCCTGTAAATACACGGTGAATAGCATTGGAAACAGCATGGTGGCTCCCTGCCTTATACACTGCTATATAGGGATTTTGTCGCTTTCTTTGTGGTAAACTATGGTGACTGTGGATCCACTGTAGATGTCTTCCAGTGTGTTTATATAGTGTTTGTCGATGCCCTGATTTAGTAGTGCCTGCATTACTGCTGATGTCTGGACTGAGTCAAACACCTTCTCGTAACCTATCAAAGCTATGTATAGAGGTTGGTTCTATCCCGCGCGTTTCTCTATTACCTGATTGATAGTATGAATATGGTCTATTGTGGAGTAGCCTGTACGAAATCCTGCTTGGTCCTTTGGTTGATTCAACTCTAATGTCACCTTAATTCTATTAGCTATTATTTTTGTAAATAGTATGTAGAAAATAAACAGTATGCTGATCAGCTTGTAATTTTTTAAGTCCTTGATGTCTCCTTTCTTATGGATTGAAATGATGGTGTTCTTCCAAGATTCTGGTACCCCTCCTGTAAAGAGACACTCCGTATATAAGGTGGCCACTTTTTCTAACACATTTCTCCGCTCTCTTTCAGCACGTCCATTGTTACTTTATTCTCTCCAGCGGCTTTGCCTTTTCGCATTCCTTCCAGGGCTTTTCCTACTTCTCTTGTCATTACTGGTAGGATGTTAAACTCCTCTGCGCTGATAGTGCTTCTCTCAATATCATCCTGTTTGTTTCGGCTTGTGTACAGCTCTCTGTAGAACTTCTTTGTCACCTCAACTATCCTACCCGTATTGGTTATGGCATTGCTGTATGATTGATATGTGGAGTTTAATGTCCCAAAACCACCATATGCTTATGAGAGACCCCGTAGTGGAGGGCTCCGGAAATTTCAAGCACCTGGGGCTCTTTAATGTGTACCCAAATCTGAGCAGACTGGCCTACAGCATTTTAGCCTCCACCGAAAATGCAGCCACCGCAGCCAGGATTCGATCCCGCGACCTGCGGGTCAGCAGCAGAGTACCTTAGCCACTAGACAACCATGGCAGGGCAGTTATGACATTGCCTTCCTTGTCCCTTAATGCATACATCCGATTTTGCCTATGCACAAGATTGCCTTCGCAGCTTTTAGGCTTGTGCCGCTTTTTACAGCCCGCTCAATTCTCTCCATGTTATACCTTCTGATGTCGGCTACCTTATGCCTATTGACTAACTTCGAAACCTCCACTAGCTCTATTTTGTCAGTTCCATTTGAGGCTCTCATGGTTTGGCACTGGGATAGTCTGCTAGTGTCCTGTCTAGTGACTGTACCTCCGATGTCTATTACACACTCTTTGATGATACTAGTAAGATTATTGTTCATTGTTTCAAGCCTAATGTCAGTTACCTCGTTTAGAACCTCGAATCTGTTAATGCGAATTAGAGCCTCGAATCTGTTAAGCTATTAATTCCTGTACTTTCACTCTCACTGTTAGCTCAATAATTGGCTTCTTATATATCAGTTTAGGCCTTTACTTTTTTAAATCTAGGTGAATACGAGCTCTTACCTTGCTATGGTCACTGCATCAGATCTTGATAACTACTTCTACATCCTGTACAATGCCTCTGTGTGCACACAGGATGAAGTCCATTTCATTTTTAGTTTCGCTATTACGACTTTGCCACGTCCACTTTCAATTAGCCCATTTTCTGAAGAAGGTATTTAAGATCAGTAAATTGTTACGTTCTTCCAACTTTACTAATAACTACCCTCTGGCATTTCTAGAGCCGATGCCATATTCTCTCACTGCATGGTCTTCGGCCTGTTTCTTGCCTACTTTGGCATTAAAGTCACCCATCAGAATAGTATACTGTCTTTTTTAATGTCTGACTCTACGTCTTCGTAGAAGTGTTCAACCAAATGATCATTATGGCTCAGTGTAGGCACGTAGGCCAGTACCACCTTCATCTTGTACCTTTTGATAAACTTAATTATGATACTTGCAACCCACTCACTGATTCTGTAGTATCCCTCTATGTTGCCAGCGATATTCTTCTGCACAAAAAACCCCACCACTAGTTCTTTTTTGTTAACTAATTCACGGTAGCATAGGACGTGTCTGTTCTTCAGCACTGTACAAACTTCACATCTCCTTCTAACTTTGCTGAGTCCTACTACATCCGATTTCACACCCTCTAATTTCTCTAATAGAATAGCTAGTCTAGCCTCACTAGATATGGGAAGGTACTGCAAAGTATTTTGGCTAAACCTCGATAAAGTTCAGCTCCATGCTTTATGCTGTTTAAAACAATCATTCTTTCTTTCTTGGTATCAGGAGCTTATTGAAGCACTTTTGAACATTTTGACGATTACTCTCATTGGTGGTAGTGGTAAAACTCTGTTGCCCATAGAAAGGGTCCTGAACTTAGTGTGCTGATTATCTTTTTACGCTAGCAGTTTTAGAGTCTCTGAAACTGTTCCATGGCCAACTTTGCTGGAGCCATGACGTGCGGAAATGGCATAATTTTCTTTAGCCATTTATGGGGCCCTCATGTTATAAACGAGGCCTGCCAACTAGAAGGTGGCACTGTCATTTGTATCAGCTTCTTATGTCAAAAATTTTAGCTCTCTATTGTTCAGGATCTTCGAAAAAAAAGTTGGACATATCTTTCCCACTGCCCCTTGAAGACAGTCATCTCAGAGACAAAAAAATTATCTTTGTTTTATTATGTGGACTTGCTGCTGCCTTACAATAAACTAAGGACAGAGTTTACAAACGCCTATATCCTATCACAAAAAAGTTGACTGAATGTCCATTGAACACTTTCTCGCTATAACGGCCCTCAGGCAGCAGATGTCGGTAGTGGGCTTGCCTGCAACAATACAATTTTTGTCTGTTGAGGAAGCTTCTTTCGCCCTGCATGAAGCAGAATGAAATTTGGATACTGCAATCAGCTGTGCACAATGTTAGACTAGGTACGCTTTTGGAAATACTGTATCATTAAATGGCATTCAATTTTGCATCGCATAAATTTTTTAGAAAACTGTATGTGTATGAATGATGAAAAGCAATGTAATAGCCATAAAGGAACTTGTGAGTATGAAATAAACTTTCCAAGCTTTCCTCTTATGCTGAATTGAGTAGAGAGCGTGTCAAAATCTAAAGAAAAAAAAAGATACAGGGTGTGCAAGCGGAATGGTTCGTTTGAAGCTTGTGTGTGTGCTGCCACCTTGCCAGTACCATCAAAACAACTACCAACACCACTTTCTAGAACATCACTGTGGTAGCATTAAAAGTTTGGAAGCAATCGATTCAGTGGTTTTTATCTGAAAAATGAGAACATTGTGAGGTGGTTGTAATAAACTAGGACAGCTCCAAAAGCCAGATAATATAACAATCCCCAAAAGTCCGGGATTGTTATAACGATATAACATACGAGGATATAACAATCTCCACCAGTCAAAAGAATGCAAAAGAAAAGTGCTTCCAATGCGACAAACGCCATGTGTCTTCCGTGTGCCACCCTGACTGGCAGAAAGCAAAG